TGCTGCTGAGTTGATTCTGCCTCTACTAGTGACCATGTAGGAAAGGGCAGAATTGCCACGTCCACAGGGTTAGTAAAAACACACAAATGGCCAATAAGTACTTGCAAACAGTGTTCAAGGCTGTATACTATATAGAGGTGGACTGCTTCATCTTTTTTCCATGGAATGGCCGGTGGGTTCAAACTGATCTCTGGATTAGTAGTTGAGTACTTAGCCACTGTGTCATCAGGGCTCCTACAGTATAGTCTAATTGGCTTTTTTCACATATTGATCTGTAGGCTGCTATATAAGTAATACAAATTTTAGTGTTATTCTTCAGTTTTTAGAAGCTGTAAAAACTTTTTCCGATTTCATATAGACCAGGCATCCTCAAACTACGGCTCGCTGGCCACATGCGGCCCACCGGGGACATTTATCCGGCCCGCTGGGTGTTTTTGCTTCATTTTTTTTAACTTCAAAATAAGATATGTGCAGTGTGCATAGGAATTTGTTCATAGTGTTTTTAAAACTATAGTCCAGCCCTCCAATGGTCTGAGGGACAGTGAACTGGCCCCCTGTTTAAAAAGTTTGAGGAGCCCTGAATAGACCCTAGGTTCCCAAACTTGGCTGATAGTTGGAATCACCTGGGGATCTGGTGCAAACACAAATCCCTGGACTCCTAATTTGCAACCTAGTGAATCTTAATTATCTAGGGCAGTGGTTCTCTCTCTCTCTCTCTCTCTCTCTCTCCTTTTTTCTGTTGTTGGGGTTTTCCCGGAAAAAAAACAAAAAAACAGAAAACCTGCTACACAAATTCTAAAAGAGCTGTAACACTAGTAGTTCTCAACCTGTGGGTCACGACCCCTTTGGCAGTTGAACGATTCTTTCACAGGAGTCCCCCGATTCATAAATTACAGTTATGAAATAGCAACGAAAATAATTTTATGGTGGGGCGGGGCGGCGTCACCACAACATGAGGAGCTGTATTAAAGGGCCGAGCCATTAGGAAGGTTGAGAACCACTGCTCTAGGGGAAGGGACCCAAAGCCCCAAAGCCAAATTCCCTGACATCAAGTGACCCTATAGGGTAGGGTAGAACTGCCCCTGTGCATTTCCCAGCCTGTAACTGTTTATAGAGTAGAAAGCCCTGTCTTTCTCCCTCGGAGAGGCTGGTGGTTTCAAACTGCCAGCCTTTGGGGATCACAGCCCAGTGCATAACCTCTGCATCCCCAGAGCTCCTTAGGGGAAGGGGCTCCCCTGGGGATTCCAGTGATTAGGTTCCCTGCCCTTTATTTGTCCTGTACCATTGGTGAACCACACGCACATCATTTGCTTAGTCTCACCCATTCTTTGAGCATTACAAAGACGGTGGCTAGAAGGGCAGCTTCAAGTAATTCACTGCACTGCACAGAGAGGAAAGGAGTATCACAAAATTGACATCTCTGCTTTCGGAAACCAGGAGCCCTGATGTCACAGTGGTTATGCATTGGCCTGAAAATCTCAAGGTCAGCAGTTCAAAACCATCCGCTGCTCCTCAAGAGAAAGATGAGGTTTTCTGCTCCCCTAAGTACCCTGGTGATGTAATCTTTACCCGTTTGGCTGTGTTCTGTAAGGTTGGCAGTTTGAAACCATCAACCACTTCTTGAGGGGGGGGCACTTTTAACTCCCATAAACAGTTATTACAGTCTTGGAAATTCACAGCGCAGGGCAGTTGTACCCTTATCTTGTAGGGTCACTGAGTTGTGAGAACAGAAAGGTTTCCTCCCAGGTTGTCATGCTGCTTCCTAGCACATCGTGGGGTCAGCTGCATAGAGGGCAGTCAGACACTACTGTCCGTCCTACTGTGAGTGGGGCCCACCCCCTGCTGATAGGGTAGTGGATGCTTTCCTGAAGGAGAGCTCAGAATAGGTCAAGCCAATTCAAGGATGACCAGAGGTAGGCTGCCATCTTGACTCTAGGACCCGCCCATCTTGTCACATGTGTACCCCTAATCCCTCCCCTTCCTATTGCGTGTACACTCATAGATCACCCCCCCACCCATTGCTCATATTGCCTATGGTACAACCCTTCCTGTGATGTATGTGGTTACATGTAATCGGGGGGGCTTACATGTATAACTTAAACTGAAAAAATCTGGAGATATACTGAGAATAGTATGTTCTCCCTTCTTGGTTTTCTAACACAAGATCTTTGCATGTTGCATTATAATATTTTCTTTTCTCCAGCTGCCACTTGAAATTTCTGTTTAGCTCTTTGATGGTGTCATTTCTTCCATTTACTGTAAGAGCAGATTTCAGAGTCCCTTCTCTGACATCCACTTTGATCTTTTTCTTTCTTTCCTGTCTTTTTTTTTTTTTCCCCCCTTGGATGGCCAAAATTAAGCCACCATCTTTTTTTTTTTTTTTTTTTAACATTTTATTAGGGGCTCATACAACTGTTATCCCAATCCATACACACATCAATTGTCTAAAGCGCATTTGTACATCATTTCTCAAAACATTTTCTCTCCACTTACATCCCCGACATTAGGTCCTCATTTTTCCCCTCCCTCCCCGTTCCCCCCCTCCCTCATCAGCCCTTGATAGTTTATAAATGGGTATTTTGTCATATCTTGCCCTGTCCGACGTCTCCCTTCACCCACTTTTCGGTTGTCTGTCCCCCAGGGAGGAGGTCACACACAATTCCATGTAATCGGTTCCCTCTTTCCTACCCATTCTCCCTTTACCGTCCCTGTTTTCCCACTCACACCACTGGTCCTATAGGGCTCATCCGTCTTTCCTGTCTTTTTAATGACCTTTTGCTACCTGTATGATGTTCTTGATGCCCTCCCGCAGCTCCTGAGAGCTTTTGACATGCGTGTTCAGTGTGTCACATGTGCTCTTGAGACGGTCCCAGCATTCAGGTGGGATAGACTCAAGCTCATATTTTGGCTCTTGAGGACTTGCTTGCATTTTCTTAAGCTTCAAGCTGAAGTTACATATGCACAATTAGTGGTCTATTCCACTGCTGCTCCTTGACCTTGTAAAACTGCTGACATTGAGCTTCTTCCTCATCTTTCTCCCATCGAACAGCTGGTGGTTTCAAGCTGTTGACCTTGTCTTAGCAGCTCAGCACCTAACCCACTGCACCTCCACCCAAAGTGTGTGTGGTGAGACTTTAAACGAAAAAGATCAACTTGGAGGAAGGGAAATGCTTTTCAGCAGTGACAAAGAACTTGTCTGAATTATGTTGAGGTTTGATGAACTTCTGAGGGGACTTCTAAGCACGATCTCAAAGGGCCCCTGGCTTTCTTCCTGCTGCTTGGAGTAAAATGTGAGAGGGAAGAGGTGGGAAATTAAAACACACATTAAAGATTTGGAAGTTCAATGGTATGAATATAGACTAAGGACCCATCCATGTCTTAGAACAGTCACCAAATACTTGGCTACGTAACCCTCTATTAAGTAGATTGAACCCATGATGGATGGCGCTAACCAACTACAACAGCAGAACACCCCTCAACTTAGACTGAAAGGGACAGAGAAAGGACTGAGGGGTGCACTCCGCCTGCCACTTGAAATGCTACAGGCAGGAAACATCTGTTGTCCTCCATCCCCAGAGCTGCTTGGCCTTCAGCAGAACTCTCGGAAGGAGCAGGGGATGCAGGGCCTTCTTGGTGTCAGAGGGTGGCACCATGGCCTCCTTATGTTCAGAGAGTTGCCCCTCGGCCAACTCTGTCCTGAGGTGTGGGGCTGTCGTTAAAATGTGCTGGGGGCCGGGGCCAGCCCCCAAATCAGGGCTACTAAGCTCTAGTAGCTTGCCGGGCCCTTGGTTCGAAGTTACCACTCAATTAGATGAGATTGAGGTCATCCAAAGTCAAGGGAGCAGAGTTGTCTCCCCAGGGGGCCTGGAAGGCAGAGCTGGAGCCCCCTGAATCCAGGGAGAATCTGCAGGGCAGGACCACCGCCCAGATGGTCTCTGAAAAAAGAGTGAAAGTAATTCGTTTTCCTGGTTTTGGATTTGCTCGGTGCCTGTCCTCCCTTCTCTTCCTTCACGCCCCCATGTATGTTAGGGTGCTTACCCGGGGGCTGGTCTGCCCTCACACTTTGGAAGCACACATGCAGTCTCACTCACAGGCTCTGAGATGAAGAGCCCGTTTGCTCCAGGATGGACTATGCCTCAAGTCTGATCCATATTGGATTCAGGTGGTTCAAAAGCTGAGACATTGGCCTTGGAGTTAGTTTAAGACTTTGGAGATGGTGTGATGGGATTCTTGTGGCAAGGACATGACTACTTAAGGGTGGGATTTATAGTTTGAATTGTATCTCCCCCCACCCCGCCAAATGTGTGTTGTTAATTCTAATTTCTTGACCTGTGGTTATCATCCTTTTGCAAGTGGGTGCCTTTGTTACATTAATGAGTCATACTTATCGTAGTGTCCCTTTTGAGATATTAAAGATATTAAACAGATAAGCAGGAGGAGAGACAGGCAAAGAGCCACACCAAGTCACAGGTAGATTGCTTGGGAGCCTCCCTCCAGAGTCAACAGAGAGAGAGCTTCACCTTCTGCTAGAGCTGGCTTCTGAGCCTGGACTTCCAGCCGCCTACTCTGGGGAAATCAATGGCTGTTTCTTAAGGCCATCCATTCGGGGTATTTTTCTTATAGTAGCACTAGATAACTAAGACAATGTGTATCTGCCTGGCCCCCCCTACTTTCTTTTGAGTTGCCTGTTAATATCTACAAGGCTTACTTGGTTTAACATTCCTGCTATGCCCAGTTGGGGAACGGGAGGCAAGGCCTGCAGAACACAAGCCTGTGTTGGTTGGAGGGGCGTCGCCAGGGGTCCTGCCCCTTGCCGAGAAGAAAAAGCCGGAGACCCATGGGTTTGACTCAGCACAAGCCATTGCTCTGTCTTGGGAGTCCGTGTCCGGTTTCTGCTCTGGCTTGGACCTTGGAGTCTGGCTTTACAAGTGTGACTGTGTGTGTGTTGCCTGGGAGGATTCTATTTACCTACTGGCTTTTCTGTTTCTTTGTCAAGACCCTTCGGAGGAGACCCCTCCAGCTGCTCAGAACTTCATCATTCCAAAAAAGGAGATTCACACGGTTCCGGACATGGGCAAATGGAAGCGTTCTCAGGTACAGTGGTGTCTTCCCTGGAGGGTCTAACTGGGGTGAAACTAGAGTTGTCTTCTGAGAAACCTGGGCTTTTTCGAAGACGGTGGTCTCCTAGGTGTGACAGGGGCCATATGCCCCTGGCCCCTCTTGCTCTCAGACTGACCAGTGATGGACCAGAGAGCTGGCTATCCTTCTCTGAGGTGGCTTCTGTCCAAAAGTCTCAGTGCCTGGTCTCATCAACCGATGACCACTGAGTGTCATTGTCTTGTTGAATGGGAATGTCCTAAGGGAAGAAGTAGACCACTTTGATTCTTGATCCAAAATAATAGCAAGTCTGCACATTAGACTTTGAAAAGGAGAGAGGAGGTGATGTTATGGAAATTACGGTGCCCAGGTGTCTGTCTTTGGAAAACTGAGTGGCAGGGCAGGAAGTGCCCCTCTCTGCAGACCTGTGCTCTCTGCTAGAGAACAGAGATAGCTTGCACCTCCTAAGCATACGGTCTGGAGTCATGGTGGTGCAGTGGGGTAAGCATCGGGGTATTAACCGCCAGTTCAGCCATGCAGACCCACTAGCCACACCACGGGAGAACGAGAAGATATCTGTTCCCATACGATCTAGTCACAACTCTAGTCACAACAAGTCAGAGTCGGCTTGTTGGTCGGCTTGGTTCGGAAGTCTATGGGACACGTGTGTCAAAGACTGGGACTGAGGGAAAGAAAGCCAATTTCAATTTCTCACCTGCGTGGGGACTGCCACGCACACAGCAGGGCAGGCACAAGAGTCCTCCTAAACTTGGCAGAGTCTCTGTGATGAGCCTGCTTATATCCAGCTATGCTTACACTGAGCCCAAACCCTACAGCAGCGTTTCTCAACCTGTGGGGTGTGACCCCGTTGGGAGGCGAACGACCTTTTCATTGGGGTCGCCCGATTCATAAACGTAGCGAAATGACAGTGATGAAGTAGGAAGGAAAGTGATGTTACGGTTGCGGGGCCAGCACGGCATGAGGAACGGTGTGAAAGGGTCATGGCCTGGGGAAGGTGGAGAACCCCTGGCCTAGGGCCTTATCCTAGTTGTGACTTGGATCAGCCTCTCTGGTTCCTCTTTCACATCGGCCTCTATAAATATTTGGAGATGTTTATCAGGAGCTGTTTGTTTTTTATGTTGTCCCTAAGTCTTCCCCAAGATAAATTACCTTTGTCTCTTCAACGTCCCTTCAAAGGACATGGTTTGAATCCTTTCCTCATCCCCGTTGCCCAGCCTCAGGATTTCCCAACTTCCGCTATGGACATTTGGGGGCAGATCTCCCTCTGTGGTGACGGCTGTCCTGTGAACTGTGGGAGCCTTGGCAGCATCCTTGATCTCTGCCCACTACGTGCTGGCAGCCGCCCTCTTCCTCGGGCATGACACTGAACTTGTGTCTGGATGTTGCCCCATATCCCTTAGGGACTGAATTGCCCACGGCGGGAACTATGGCTCTGTCCTGAACTTGAGTGCCTGTCTGGATCCAGACAGGACTTCAGTTTCTTGCTTTCCCCTCTAGATGTGTTTCAAGAAGAATTAGATACTTCAGATGTGAGATCGGTTTCGTGATCATCCCAAACTTAGCAAGGGGGCACAGGTAGTAAGTGCCTATAGTAAAACTCAGAAAATTCACTCTCTAGAGCCCCAGATGCTGACCTCTTATGTTCTGGGCCAGGACTCAGCAGATGACTGCCTGCCTTTATCAACAAAAAGCACTCGGGGGCCGCTGTCTGGTTTGGTTTTGCATTTAAAAATAAAGTGTGATTGGGGCACATCCGCACTACGTTGTGTCTGTCGTCTCTCTGGCTGCTTTCACCTCTCCATGGCAGAGTGGGGCAGACCTGAGAAGCGGAGCCCAAGGCGGTTCCTGACCCTCCTCAGCAGTCGCACTTTTGGGGAAGAGCTTGCCTCTTCTTTCTGTGGAGCGTGTGTCCAGTGACGCCCGGGAGAGGCCTTTTCACTCGCTCGGAAGCCACTTCGTCCAGTGCATGGCTCTGTCACCGCCGGGCGTGGGACTCTGCTGGAGTTGTGCTGGCTGGCGGGCGGGACCAACCAGGGCTTTGGAATCAGGGAGCTCTGGGCTTGGAACCTGGTGTGCCATTTCTTCTTCCTGTGACTCAGACAAGATAACGTATATACTTGAGTGTAAGCCCGCCTGAATATCAGCCCGAGGCACCTAATTTTACCACAAAAACTGCATTAAAAATGTGCTGAAAAACTCAGCTTATACTCAAGAATAAGTATTTAAACTACCTGAGCTGTTTCTTCGACTAGGAAAAGAGATTGTTTAGAGACCAAGGTGTGAATGACAAACTCATGGCCCAGAGCTAGGCATGCACTAAACCTTGTTGAAGAGTACAATAAAACAAAACCAAACCCCAAACTCATCGCAACCCCGCAGGGCAGGGTAGAACTGCCCCTGTGAATCTCTGATAGTGTAACTGTTTACAGGAGTAGAAGGCCCCCACTTTGTCCCGAGGAGCAGCTGATGGTTTTGAACTGCTGACCTTGTGAATCACAGCCCAACTTGTGACCACTATGCCATCAGGGATCTTCTTGAACACTGGAACCAACCATTGCCTCGGCCCTGTCCTCGCTATCCTGTGTCGAATGCCTGGGGAATAGGGCCGTGTGCAAGTTGACACGGACCCTGGCTACTTCTTATCCATGTCTTCCCGTGCACTCTGCACACCCGGCTCCAGCAAACCCCCAGCACTAGGGCATGGACTTGCCTGGGGTGATCTACCAGGCTGACTGACTGTGTGACCTCACCTTTCTCCCCAGGGTCAAGCCGTAAGCTGGTGGGGAGATCTTAGCACAGGAGCGCCCCTCCCACATGTTGTTAAGTGGTTGGTCAGAGCTGTCTCTGGATTTGCTGTGGGCACTTCTGGCATCTCCTAAGGCCTCAAGAAAGGAAGAAAAGAGGAGAGGAAAGGGCTGGGGACAAAAGAAGACGAAGAAGGAGTTAACCTGTTCCCAGGACCTCTGTCACTAGGGACCTCAGTGCTGCTTATTTCTGTGCCGTGTGTGACCTGCAGGGAGTGGCGCGCCCAGTCAGGCTCTCTGCCACTCAGCTTTAGAGTTAGGTTGGCTGAGGCCCAGTGCCACCTCTGGTGGTATTAGGAGATCTTGGGCACGCCACTAGTGCAGGCTGGTTTCCTCCCTGTGAAAGGGGAGAGCTACGGTGGCCACAGCACGGGGGTGGGCATGGAGCCTTCGGCAGCGCAGGTGAGCACTGAGCATTGTCGGGCCGCCCCTCCGGGACCCTTGGGATTGCCTTGCTGTTCTTTTTGGAGGGGAATGTCTAGTTCTGCAGGGCAGTGGTATACCTTATAGGTCTGTCCTAACCTGCCCTAATGTGACTGTCTTGTAACTCCCACCCAAGGATGGGTTGAGATTAGGCGAATAAAGTCTTTGGTCCACCGAGGGAATTGGGTAGCTGGTTAGTGATACAAATTCGGCGCATGGCACCCTTGCGACCATACAAATAAGGTGTCTAGAACCCTAAGAAGGGCTTTGGTCAGGTGTGCCAGCCAACTAGGGTTAAATGAGAACCCATCCCAAAGCAAATGGGGCACCCCACCATTGCCAAGAACGAAAAGAAGGGAGTGGAGTGCATTCCCTGGCCCTGGAGTCCTTCCTCGGAGACCCTCCTAGTCCCAGGAGACAGAAAGCCATAACAGCAGAGATGGCAAGAGGCAGCCAGAAGCAGTGGCAGAGAAATTGCGGCAGCAGAAGCAGGAGACTGGCAGGAGATGGCCTAGTGGGTTTTCCAGCCCGGGGAGGGAGGAAGCTGAGCACCTGGGGCAGGAAGGAGGCTTGCCAGCAGAATGGGGTCTGTCTAGACACTTAGTGGCATAGCCATGGGGCTTTGTAATACTTCTGAGTGGGGCATAGACTGGGCTTGTTCAAGAGACTTGTTCGACTGAGAGGCCCGTGGCAAGAAGAGGCCCTCTTGTGAGCGGGGCCTAGAAGCTGTCCTGCCTGGAGAACTGTATGTATCCTGAGTCCTTCCTGATCTTGACTTGAAACCTGGTACTTCTGTAATAAGCCCCATACTTTTGAGTATTGTCTGTGAATGACAGCACATTACTGAACCAACCCTGCAGAGGAGTAGAGAGTACGCTGTGGTGGGTGGGGACAACATGTGGTGTCAAACTTGGTAAACATGTTTGTGAGAAGAGAGATGCCGGATCTTTGCTGATGGTGAAGCAGCTCCCTTGCCTTGATGTTGGAGTAGGTCTCATGCCTCCACCCACATTTTTTAAAGTGTTCTCTTTCTGTGCCTCCTGCAGCCAGGTTGGGAGTCAGGACCTACTTGGTGCTCTTTGCTAACCAGGGGGAGAGGGGGTGGGGGAGGGGTGGTGGGGGTGAGTCCTCTGATCCTGGAGTCCAGGGTGCTGGTCCTGACAGCCCTCCCTCTCCCTATGCCCCTCCTCCACAGGCATACGCAGACTACATCGGATTCATCCTCACTCTCAACGAAGGCGTGAAGGGGAAGAAGCTGACCCTCGAGTACAAAGTCTCTGAGGTAGGCACAGGCTGGGGTCCTGCCGCGACTGCCTTTCCCCCAATCGCTCTCGAGGGCCCCAAGTGCGCCCCGTTCATAGCTGGGCCCAAGCACAGGTACAGCCAGCATTTGGCACTTAGGTTTCCAGTCTTGGTAAGAGCTATGAATAGTTGTGTATTTATAGAAATAAGATCAAGGTAAACATGCTGTTTCATTCTTGTGTACTGGTGTTTTTATATTTATTTATTGCATTATTACAGTTCTTTTTTGCCGGTGATTTTATAGACAGGTTTAGATTCAAAAAGATTACAAAAGAAGCGTGTGTGTTCATGGAGGAGATTGCTCACAGAATCATGGATAACATGAACCCAAAAGCTGGCCTCTCCCTGCTAGTCTCCCTCGGACCCAGGACATGGCGAGAAGTTCTTTCCCCATGGGGTAATGGCTGTCTCCCTGAGATGTGCCCTTGCTCATTTCAACAGACTCCTCATTTTATTTTATTTCCAAAACCATTGTCTTGGGAGCTAATACACACCAAGCAGTATTGTACAAATGGTACCACAATCTGTGGGGAACAGAAGGATTTCTCTTAGGCTGTCTCCCCCCAAAATCTGTCTTGAGAATGACTGTACACTGGGCGGTCAGCGAAAGTAGGTCAGAGGTTATTCTCCTTAACATCAGCCATATAGAGCGGCCAGACTGTGTAGTCTGACTCACCCTAAGTAGGGCCCATTCCCTTCTGACATTGTTCCCTTGAAGCAGTGCCCAAAGGCAAGCCCGGGACCACTCCAAGATGACTAGGTCATTCCCCTCCTATTGCTTGTATTGCCTATGTTGCAACCTCTCCCTATGACGCAGGTTGTTGAGAATTGTATTGTCCCTCTCTGTGATGCATGATGCTGTGATGTATCCCCCTAAAGTGATATGATGCGTGGTTAGCAATAAATAAGGAGGCTCCCTGGTTCTCAGGAGGGCTGCTCCCATGAGGGAGGTGGACGAGGGCGGCTGCTCCCCGAGGAAGGCAGCTGCTCCTCCTCTGGCAACCAAGCGGGGCGGAGGTGAGCGATGCTACCATGTAATATGTCTGACTGTATTATTGTATTCTCTCTCATGCTCTCGATGACTTTAATGTAATGCTTATATATCTCAACCATACAATTGTGCATTACTGAACCCGTGGGTAGTATTAGTAGCAGCGGGTGGGGGCTGGCCCCTCATCCCACCCCTTCGCCATTTTAATTTAATACTACAACAATCAGTTTTAAAACATTTTCTTTCTTCCTGAACTTCTTAATATCAGTCCCCCTCTACCTTGTCCCCCACCCCCCCCAACCAAACCCTTAAATTCTATTTGCTGTCTCAGTAGGTTCATCAATCCTGGGTTTCATAGACTAAAAAAAAACCCAGAAAAACATTGTATGAGCCCCAATAAAATGATTAAAAAAACCAGAAAAACATATAACAAAAACTCAAGAGGGTTACCTCCAATGACAAAATACCTCTGGGATAAGCCTCAAGAGGAAGCAACAGAACAGAACACAGAGCGCATTGACAACCAGCTCAGGCCCAACCGCATCAGAGGGGCTCACCCGACAAGGCCCCTCTCCATCGCACTCTGGGGTAGCCAGTTCGTCCCACCCTCTCCTAGGGAAGAGGAAGTCACCGGAGGCTTATTTCCTGTGTAGATCTCACAAATGCATCTTGGGCTTCCACTGTCCTCCACAGGCTTCTGCAAACTGGAACCTCACAGTTTAGGCTCCAATACCAATCGCTCCTTTGGGAGGGGAGTAGCAAGATCCCCAGGGAATGATGAGGGTGGACATTGGAGACAGGGCATGGTGCCCCAACAGGCTAGACTGGAGAACACAAGCTTTTCTTTCTTGGTATATTTTAATTTGTTCTT